ACGGGAGAGGCCACAACAGTGGCCTCTCCCGTTGCGGAGCACAGGCTCCGGACGTGCAGGCTCAGCGGCCATGGCTCACGGGCCCAGCTGCTCCGCGGCATGTGGGATCTTCCGGGACTGGGGCACGAACCCGTGTCCCCTGCATCAGCAGGCGGACTCTCAACCACTGCGCCACCAGGGAAGCCCTAATTTTTATATCTTTAATGGAAGCAAACTCATTAATATTTTCAAGATTATTTCTTGTTTGTAATTGAGTTATCACGTTTGACAATTTCTAATGACCCCATGACAGTCTTAACTAATTTTTAAAATTTTTATTTTATTTATTTATTTATTTTTGGCTGCGTTGGGTTTTCGTTGCTGCACGCGGGGTTTCTCTAGTTTGCGGCGAGCAGGGGCTACTCTTCGTTGCAGTGTGTGGGCTTCTCATTGTGGTGGCTTCTCTTGTTGTGGAGCACAGGCTCTAGGTGCACGGGCTTAGTTGCTCCGCAGCATGTGGGATCTTCCCAGACCAGGAATCGAACCTGTGTCCCCTGCATTGGCAGACGGATTCTTAACCACTGCACCACCAGGGAAGTCCCTCAGATTTATTTATATTTTTAAAAGATCACTGTGGTTGCTGTGGGGAGAATAGATTATATGGGGCAAGAGTAGAAACAAGAAGACCAGTTGGGAAACTCTTGAAGGAATTAGTCCAGGCAAGAGATGATGGTAGCGTGGATTAGAGTGGGTAGTGGTAGACCTGGGAAGAAGGGATCATATTGGGCTTATATTTTGAATGTGGAACTGACAAGTCTTGCTGATGGATTGGATGTAGGGTGAAAAAGAAAGAAATCCAGGATGACTCATATATTTTTGGTCTGAGCTGTGAGCGGTGGTAAAATTTCCTGAGATGAAGACCACTGGGAGAAGAAATCAGAATTGGTTTTTGACTTGTTTAGTTGAGATGCTTATGAGGGCTTCAAATGGAGAAGTCATTTGGCTCAACAGAAGTATTAATCTGTAATGCAGGAAAGAGGTCTGGGCTGGAGATCTACATGTGGAAATTTTTAGCATGTCCATGATATTCAAAACCATGGAACTGGATGAGACAACTGTAGAAGAGAGTTGTAGGTGGAAAAGTGGTCTGAGTTAAGGAAGTAATGACCAGTTACTGACAGCTCTTTCAAGAAGTTTTGTTTAAAGGGGAACAGAGGGACTTCCCCTGGAGGTCCAGTGGTTAGGGCTCCGTGCTTCCACTGCAGGGGGCACGGGTTCAATCCCTGGTCAGAGAAGTAAGATCTTACATGCCGCGTGGCACAGCCAAAAAAAAAAAATAATAATAATAATAAAGAGGAGCAGAGATAATACTATTAATAATATTGCATGTCATTTCCCATGTTTGGCACTTAAAATATGATGTTTCTAATCTTCATATCTATCTTGCAGAGTAAGTATTATTAGTCGCATTTGTTTCAGATGAGAAAACTGATGACGAAAATGACTTACCCAAGGTCACACAGATAGGCAACATCAAAACCAAGGTTCAAACTTAGCTCTGTCTAGTAGAATGACCATATTTTCTAAGACAAGTCAGAACCTATAACCAGATGCAAGATTTTTTTCCTTATTTTTGTATTTATTTATATGGAAACATGTATAAAGATATAACAATTAAATAATAATTAGTTACACATGTGATAAATCTTTGTTAAAATATTTTGAAAATGCTATTAGTATTCTAATTTCTGTATTTTTTTATTTTTCTTTTTCCCTTTTTTTTTTTTTTTTCTTTTTTTTTTTTGCTGTACATGGGCCTTTCACTGTTGTGGCCTCTCCCGTTGTGGAGCACAGGCTCCGGACGCACAGGCTCAGCGGCCATGGCTCACGGGCCCAGCCGCTCCGCAGCATGTGGGATCTTCCCGGACCGGGGCACGAACCCGTGTCCCCTGCATCGGCAGGCAGACTCGCAACCACTGCGCCACCAGGGAAGCCCTGGATTGTTTTATATTTATAAGCGGCACAATAGGGAGTTGGTGGAACATTTCTGTTTTAACTGGACAGGCATGTCTTTTGTTTTAAATAGATGCTGCTGTTCTCAACAATGTAGCACATACATTTGGCCTAATGGACACAGTCAAGAAGGTTTTGGACAACAGAAGGAACCAAGTAGAGCAGGGAGAAGAGCAGTTTCTCTATACTCTGACAGGTATGTATAACTTCTGTCTTTTCTTAGGCGATATTATACTAATATCCTTGAGTCTTGCCATTTCTTTGTTGACTTCTGTTGGGACTGGATTGGCTTGCTTCTTCTTTCTTTCCTTCCTTCTTCCCTTCCTCTGTCCTTTCTTCCTTCTTTCTCTGTCTCTCTTTCTGTCTCTCTCTCTCTTTCTTTCTTTCAACTCACATAGTATCAGATTTGGCTTTTTCTTTGTACATAGTCCTAGGTGAGGTGGAGTGGTGGGAAGCAGAGGAAGCACAAAGGAAAAGAAAAGAAAGCCAGCAACATGATCCTCCTTCTGTATCTTTGGAGGATTAAGATGTCTGCTAGATCGCTCCATTAGTCCAGTAATATAAGTGGCAGAAGAAAAAAATTGGCCTTTGTCTTTTTTACATTATTAATACTGAGTCTTTTGATATACATTTAGCACTTTCATTATTTCTGGTAATCAGAAATTATGAGCACATGGATAATTTAACTCTTTTTAATAAGTACTTTGTGCTGGTCTCCAAGCTAGGTTTTAGAAATAAAATGTTGAATAAGGTAGCCTCAGTCTCTTGAGGGCTTTCAAGGAACTCAAGGGAAAGCAGACTTAGAAATAAGTGCAAAAAGTAGTCAGTTTTGTAACAGAGGCATATAGCAGGTATAGTGGTGGAACAAAGGGAGTTATCATTTTTACCCAGAAAAGAATCAAGAGAAGCTTTTGGAGGAGGTAAGGCAGTGAAGGATGCAAAACAAGTTGGAGGTATGGATTATCAGTCTTAAATGACATAGAATATATTATAATAGTTGGTCATGAAGACAAGAGGCAAGAAAGATCATTTGGTAAGAGAAGAACAATTTAGGTTGTTTTAAACTTATTTTTATGCCCAGTTTATATTTTAAATTCGGTTTACCAGGTATTCTCAGAGATGCCCTTTTTCATTTGATCTTTCTAGGAATATTATAGGCTGTTTCCTTATTTTACAGATAACCCAGTAGAGGCACAGAGAGGATAAATGATTTGCCTGGGACCACATCACTCCTTGACAGTGAAGCCCAGAGTAGAACTCTGTCTTCTTATTCATAGTCCAATGCTGTCTTCCACCTTGAAACTTTACACCATCTGAAAAATGGTTTTTGTTAGAAATGTAGGCTTCTGGTCCCTTGTCCGTATCATTTTAGTTATAACCACAGTATACATAAAGTTGTGTTTTCTGCTTTTTTCACTGTGACATACTAATATTTTTCCAAGTTGCTACACAGTATTTTACCTAGACATTCTTCTAGGGATGAATTTAAATTTTCAAAATTTTCTTCAGTAGCTTATTTTGTTGCAGTGAACTTGTATGAATATAACTTTTCTTCTTATGTTCTTTTAAACTAGTTCACAATATCAATACCATTTAAGCTTGAGGTTAAATGGTATTGATAATTTGTATATGGAGTCTTGTGACCTATTGTCAAATTTTCAAGAAGATTATACCAATTTACATCACAAGTTTGAGCTCACCAACAATGGGCATTGTTTTTTACAATACACCCTGATTTAACTTTTTAAAATTATAGATTTGGTATCTTGTTTAGGTTCACATTTCTTTGATTACTACTAAAGTTGGAAAAAATGCATTATCTTATAACCGTAAAAGGCAATGTTTTAAAATTTTTGAATGTGTTCTTTATCACTCCCTACTCCTTTTATTCCAAACAAGGAGTTGACTTGCTCTGGGTGTTCCACAGTGAGCAAGGTGCTCTACAGGTGTGACTGGTTATTTATTGGATGCTTATCAGGTGCTAAGCAATAGAGAAGTTCTGGTGTAGAACCAGACTCACCAGTGGTCATCAAGGTTGGATTGGACCCTTGGGAGAGGGATAGTGATAGGTGTATTGGGGTGGAAAAGCCACCAAGTTGACTCTCAGAAGACTTTTGTTTTGGCCCATGCTCTGTAACCGTAAGGAAATCGCTTTATCTCTCTGGATCTATGTCAGAATGAATGTGTTAGAACTCTTAAGACCTCCTTCAGTTCTGTAATTCTTAGGGACTTCCTCTATAACTTTCTGTAGACTTCTCTGGGGGCTAATGGTAGACTAAAGCCATCTGGGTCACCAGCAAGTGATCCTGCCTTGAAGGACAGTTTGGGAATCACTGCTTTTCAGAGTGGCCATTGTAGCTCCTTTGTGGGTCCATGGCAGTTGCAAAGGGATTATGCAGATATGATTTTCATCTGTAGACCCAGGCAGGGCATATATAAGCTGGTAGACCAACTGGAGACTTCTTTGGTTTGCATTTTGGTGACAGGTGACAAAATGCCACAGGAGCTTCTAGAGTTGAGCTATAGTAGGATCACAGCACGAAAAGGTTCTGAATTATTGACCTGTCTATAATCACACAATGACATGTAGTAACTGGAGGGATTTTAGAGACCATCCAGTCTAGTTTCTTCTTGAAAACAATGAAATGACTTGCCTGAGGCTACATAGTAGCAAAACCAGGGCAAGACCCCAGGTCTCCTCACTCGCAGTTTACTGTTCCCAAGATTATACTTCTCTCCACATAAAGTCTGTCTTTTTTCCATAGACTTGGAACGCCAGTTGGAAGAGCAGAAGAAGCAAGCTCAGGATCACAGGCTGAAATCCCAGACGGTTCAAAACGTGGTATTGATGCCTGTGAGCACTCCTAAGCCTCCCAAAAGGCCCCGGCTCCAGCGGCCAGCCTCTACCACCGTCCTGAGCCCTTCTCCTCCTGTCCAGCAGCCTCAGTTCACAGTCATCTCACCCATCACCATCACCCCCGTGGGTCAGTCGTTTTCCATGGGCAATATTCCAGTGGCCACCCTCAGCCAGGGCTCCAGTCCTGTGACTGTCCACGCACTTCCTTCTGGCCCTCAGCTCTTCCGTTATGCCACAGTGGTCTCATCTGCCAAGAGCAGCTCACCAGACACAGTGACCATCCACCCCTCATCTAGCCTGGCGCTGCTAAGCTCCACCGCCATGCAGGATGGGAGTACCCTGGGCAACATGACCACCATGGTGAGCCCTGTGGAGTTGGTGGCCATGGAGTCTGGCCTGACCTCAGCCATCCAGGCTGTTGAAAGCACCTCAGAGGATGGGCAGACCATCATTGAGATTGACCCAGCCCCAGACCCAGAGGCTGAGGATACTGAGGGCAAAGCAGTCATTTTGGAGACAGAACTGAGGACTGAGGAGAAAGTCGTGGCTGAGATGGAAGAACACCAGCATCAAGTCCACAATGTGGAGATTGTGGTCTTAGAGGATTAACTGGGGGTCTCGGGGCCAGGAGATATGTTTTGGTTTGGAATTTTAATTATTTGTTTATTTTTATCATTGTCCCACTCATTTCCACATAGGATCCTTTTTTTAAAAAACAAAATCTTGTTGTTGTAACTGAACAGGTTGGGTCCCTTCCACCCCCTCATTGAAAAATGGACAAAACAAGCTGCCCTTCCGGAAGTTGAGAGTAGGTCACTCTATGTCCTAATCCTCTTACACCAAGAAAGTGATTTCTTTTAGGGGAGGCATCAAGATAACCAGAAACCCTATCCAGAAAGCCCTTTCCAGGCTAGTCTGTCTGTGTACGCATGTGGTTTTATTCTCATAAAGGTGCATTGACCAAACCAGGGAACACAAATCTGACCCTGGAAGGCAACCCACTCACACGTGGATGCAGAAGGATACTTTACTTTGTATCCTGGAAGGGGCCCTCAGAGGCCAATGCAAAAGTCTGAAACAAAAGTAAGTTGCACTCTGCTTGGAGGGGAAGGTAGCATACCAGCAGCGGCTTAAAAAGGGAAGTGCTTTGGCCAGGATGGGGCAAGGAAATTATCTTACTTCCAGAAGCGCAACTGATGCCTCTTAATATCTCTGAGGGTTACTACCATGGCTGCCATTTTGAGGCAAGGCCAGTGTTAAGAAGAAGGGTACATTTCCACCGAGCAAGTGGCGTCAGAGGCCTGTGGCTTGGCAGAAATAGAAATCCAGAGACGTCACAGCTGTGCTTTGGGGTTCAGGTTCACCTTGCCCCCCACTCTGTCAAAACACTTACCCTCCTAGTCCATTCATTTGCAAACTGTGATGTGGTGTAAATTGCTCTGGTTCTTGGACTGTGGCTGTTCTCGGGGTGGGACTCCCAGGCCATCATTTTTATTGCATGACTCCAGGAGCAGGAGAGTTCCTCATCCAGACCAGCTAACCTTCTTTTGTGGGGCCCTTTTTTGGCTTTGGAACCAAAAGCAGCCATTCATTTGGTGCTTCCTCTGTTCTACCCCCTGTTCCTCAGTGTTTAATGGCATCTGTCTCCTGGATCCCACGCTCTTCAGACTTTTGGCTGATTCAGAGAACAGTGACAGGTGCCTGCCTGCCTTCATCCCCTTTTAGATTCATATATACCATTTATACCACAGATGTTTCTGTGAGATATTGAGCTCATAAAAAACCCTTAGGTTTGGCAACACCCCACCCTATCCTGAGGCACCGACTAGATGTCTCCTCCTGAGCGAGCTGGACTCCCTGGGAAAGAAGCATTGTCTGCAACATTATATTATAGGAAATGTACCAGGAATGTAATAATAATATCTTTTGGGGAGTTATTTTGTTTTCTTCTCTTTTTTTTAATGTTTTTGTATATTTAGAGATGGGCCCATTTTCCATGCTGTGATTCCTTCTCTTTGACCATCTTCAGTGTCTGGGGCAAGAGCGGAGTCTGTTTTTTGTTTCTTTGATTGCATTGTTTACTGCACTAGGAAAAATATAGGGAAACTGCAGACAATTTAAAAGAAAAATAGGTCAAAAAAGAAAGCATACACTTTAGGAGTGGGAGAGTTTTTTTTTTTAATTAAATACAAAACTTTAACCTGTAGTTTCCTTTTTTTTTGAAGGCACCCACCTGAAGCTATGTTTCTTCCAACAGATGTTGGAAACCCTGTTGTTAAGCAAGTGAAAACTGCATCCTGCCATCCCTCAGATAGCTGTGTATAGCTAGAGAAGCCCTCTAACTTGAAAGGGTCAATCTTAAAAGCCTTATGGGTGAGATTTCTGAACCCCATACAGTTGTGGTTTTCAGCTTTAAAATTGGGGTTTTATTTTTCTTTTCAAAATATCTAATAGACATAGCAATCAGTTTAGAACAAACCTTTGGCCCTTTATATATCTTTAGTGAAGGAAGTGGCTTTTATTTCTTGCTTCTTTAGGTTGTCTGTTGGTACATAAAAGCAAAATTTCTGCCTAAGCCTAAGACTACTACTTGAACCTAGAAAGGCACATGTCATCTCTATTGCGGTTTTTAGGGACACTTTTATCTTTCCCAGAGACAAGAGGCTCAAATCAGGACAGAGGAGGAGCCTTGGAGAACACCTACCCACTAGCTCAGGTTCCTTTCTTTCCTCCGTCAGAGCTGTTGGTAGCGTTTTAAAGTAGTGTGAGCGTCATGCTTCCAAAGTCAAGAGATCACCTCCTTAAGACAGAGCCTGTTTACTTTCACTACCTGAATATTCCAGCTGGTGGAAATACATGAGCTTTGTTGTTTTCCTGGTCTTCCAGTAGCCTGTCATTATTGCTAGATGCTATGCACCCATTCTTGAGTGTGGGTTTCCTCACAATCCTGGTCTAGATCTCAGACAGGGTGAGGCACAAGCAAGACACTGGTATATACACAAGCAGTTACAATGAATCATTCCTCAGGCTGAGTTGGCAGTAGCCATCTAATCTTTCTGTTCATTCATTAAATAAACATTTGTAAGAACCATCTATGTGCTAGGCTTTGTGCTAGGCACTGGCAGTACAGAGATGAAGGCTCAGTCCATGCACTCAAGGGATTCATTCTCCAGAGGTTGTCTGGAGTTAAGAACTATATTTCAATATAATAATTGGTTTCCTTTGTAATGCTATGTATTTTATTTCATGCGTTGATAAACATTGTTCCGAGAGTTGGTCCGTAGGTTTCAGAAGGCTACCAAAGTTACAAAATGTTTAAGCCTTTCTCTAGTGAGATACTGAAATCATCATATTGGGGTAAGTGCAGTGATAGAGCTATTGGCTGGGAGAAGAGAGAACAAGGGGTCAAGCATCTAACCCAGCTTGGAGGCAGGGGTCAGCAAATATTGGAGTACTTCCTGGAGAAGATGTATACCTAACCTGATTTAGGAGAGACCATTTTTGGCTACTGTTTTGCATTCCATTTTCAAGTAGTTGTACTTATTTATACAAGAGGGGAAAAAAATCCTAAGTCTCTTGTTGCTTCTGTCTCCAGAGCTAGGCAGAGTCAGCAGCTCAGGCAGTCTCTTCTGAGAGCAACGCACTGGTGAAAGCCCAGTCATGTGTCAGTTTCTCTGAGCTTCCATCAGATGAATCCAGGGCAGGTAAATGCCCCAAACCTTCCTGTCATGTGGTTTCCACAAAGGCCTCAGAGTCAACTCTTGCCTTGGCCATGTCCCTGTCTGACCCCCGCTCTCCTGTTCTCTTCCCCTTTTCAATTTCCAGGTTCCATCCCTGCCCCCCTCCCCAAATTAAAACAAAACAAAAATTCCCTGGCGTCCTGAAGTAAAAAAGGGACAATAGATTTGAATATTTAAGATTTAAAGCTACTTCATGTGAAGTTTCTTTCATGCTTCTGTCCATATTTGGGAAGGAGGACCAGAGTTAATCCAAATACCTTGGAAATTAATATCCAGTTTAGGTGGTCTGAGACACCCTTTAGTGGTGGCATTTTAATCCATTTCATGAAAGCATTAAAGGTAAGTCTGTATGGTGGGAAGTACTGGTAACACTTGATGATAAAGATAGTAAAATCAAGCATGAAATATGGAACTACTAGTTCATTGAGTTATAATTGGTCCACCACTATCAAGGCGGTAGCAAGGACAAAGAAAAGGTTGAATTCTCAAAATACGTACGAGGTTGTGATTCACTTTGGGTAATACTCCTGAGGAAATAGTCCTCTCTGAGACAAAAAATCAGATTCTAGGCTAGCCCCTGCATTTTCAGTCAACTTAACCCAGTACAATTGATCACAGATCCCTCACACCTTGGATGCCTCCTCCCTGGGATATTCTCGTGTAGTCTGTAATGTACTACAATAACAACCAAGGTGGTTGCCCTAAACAAGGGATCAGTTCTGCTAGATTGGAACTCTCTGCCCCTGGAATTTCTCTTCTTAGCCTTTATTCAGTCATTTCTAGGTTTCCTTCCCAATCCTGGAACACCTTTCTTAGTCCTGAGCTATGCAATTTCACTTCCCCTAGAAGGTTCTACTTTCCTTGAACATCCTTATCGTACTCCTGCTTCTCTAGCCCTTGCTTTGGGGAACCAAATGTGACTTAGTTCCCAAATTCTGCCATGTTAGTAACTGCCTTTCTGCTATGTCAGTAACTCAACTCTTGAGACAATCACTTCTTCCCAAGAAACCCCCAAGACCCAAACCTCAGCATACATCCATAGACTGCAGTCTTCACTGCCTAGAACAGCCTTCGTCATCCATCACCTGAATTGAAGCACCTTTGAGATGTGCTTGTAAGTTCCCCAGAACACACAGATTGTAAAACCTATCTTTTACACCTGATTGATTCTCTACCTATGGTCCATGGCCCAGGCTAAGACATGCCTGTTTCCTGGATAAATTATTTCAGCCCAGTATGATTCCTACTACCTCTTCTGTTATGTCTTATGAGCTTCCCAACCTGAAGACTCCTGGTGCTCTCTCAACCTAAAGTAGGCCACACCCTACTTTGAAATTGCCTCTGGGTTCTCCTCCTGTATCTATAGTTTCCAATTCTGTACCTTTACTAGTATTGGGCTTATAATATGGTATATGTGGGTTGATTTCTCTAGTTTGAGAACAAGAGCGGACATTAGTATTGGATCACATCTAAAGGAAAATGTGAGGCTGGGTAATGACCCAGAAGGAAAGATGGGTTCCTCATTGGGCTTTGTAGGAGCTTCTGTAAGAGGGGGTGTGGGGGATGTTACCTGCATTTCAAAGTATAAGTTTTTTTTTTTTAATTAATTAATTAATTTAGGCTGTGCTGGGTCTTTGATGCGGCACATGGGCTTCTCTAGTTGTGGTACGTGGGATCTTAGTTCCCTGACCAGGGGTCGAACCCGGGCCCCCTGCATTGGGAGCACGTAGTCTTAACCACTGGACCACCAGGGAAGTCCCCTCAAAGTATAAGTTTTTTAAAAAAAAAACTTCTCTGCTGTTTTCTCTAAAGAAATCTACATATTGTAGAGCAAATTGGAAGCCCACAGCTCTGATTCAGCCTTAAGATTTACTTTGGCCCACATTTTAGTTTTATTTTAACTTTTTATTGAAGTATAAATGCATACAGGAAAGTGCACAAATCACTGTACAATTTGATAAACTGAACATACCCATGAAATCAGCTTTCAGATCAAGGGGAAAAAAAAAAAGTCACCAGCACCTCACCCAGACAGGGTAACCTCTATCTAGCTCTCTAACATCATATCTTAGTTTTACCTATTTTGAACTCTTTAGGGACTGGCTTTTTTCCTCTCAACATTATGTTGTAAGATTCACCCATAATGTTGTGTGAAGTGTAGTTGATTGCTTCCCATTGCTGTGTAGAGACTGTTATTATTTACTATGCCACAGCTGATCCATTCTAATAATGGGTACTTGGGTAGCTTACAGTTTAGGGCTATTATAAATAATGCCTCTGAATATTTTTTTTTTTTTTTTTTTTTGGGCCACGCCGTGCAGCTTGCAGGATCTTAGTTCCCTGACCAGGGGTTGAACCTGGGCCCTTGGCAGTGAAAACAACAAACCCTAACCACTGGACCGCCAGGGAATGCCCACCTCTGAACATTCTTGTACGTGTCTTTTGACGAACGTATATATGCATTATGCCTACGACAGTTCACATGAAAAATTCAAGATAAAGTTTTTCTTAAAACAACAACAACAACAAAAAAACCCCCACAAAGCCCAGAAGATCTGACAACACTGGGTCCACATTTCCTCACAGCAACACCTGACTGGAACTGAGGCGTGTCTTAGGTGGGCCGTGGCTTCTTCACGTACTGTCACTCCCTATTACAAACCCAGATCTACTTATTTTTGGTAGCTTATTTTTTTCATTCAATAATCTCAAGCACACTCTTCCCCCCAGATAACTGCAAAGCTTATTACCTCATTTCCTTCAAGTCTCTATCCACATGTTACCTTATCAGAGAGGACCTCCCTGACCACCCACCCTATGAAAAGTGGCAACTTCCTCCTGCACTATGCTTCCTATTTTCCTTTACCCTGCTTTATTTTTCTTTCTTTTACTTATCACCTGACATACATGTATTTTTTTCTCCCCCAAGTAGAATCGAAGCTCCGTGAGAGCAGGGACCATTCTCGTCTCTTAGTCACTGCTGTTTCTACAGTCCCTGGAACAGTGCCTGGCATGTAGCGGAAACTGGATAGATATTTGATGCATGAATAATAAGAAGAACAATAATAACCAATACTTATTGAAGGGTAACTATGTACCAAGCATTTTTCTAAGCACTTTACATATGTTAATCCATTTGATCCTCAGGACAATCCTATGTGGTGAAGAGCATTATTTACTTCATTTTACAATGAGGAAACTAACACTTATATTCTACTCTAAACAATAACTATATTTGAAACGTTGTATACGGATCAAATTTATTAAACAGAGTCTTTAAATGTACTAGAGAAGCTTAATACCTAAAAGGAAACTTTCAACAAACCATTTTATTAGGATGATGTTTTGCTGATAACATGTTTAGTCGCTACTTAGGTTGTTTTGTTTACAGTCCAGTTCACCATCTCGCCACAGTACTGCAGAAGGAGTGGTGGAGGGAGGGAACTTCCAGTTACCTGAGAAAGGATTTTAGAACCCAGATCATCTGTCCTGTCCATCAGTCACAGGAAGTACTGATTTATCACTTTGTTAAAAGTGGTCTTGTCTTGTTTGAGATGACATTGATGTCAGGGTCCCTGGTTAGAACTCCTTCATTTGTTCGCTAAGCTCCTACTGTGTAGAGCCCAACCCCATGTGCTTTGTTACACAGGGAACCTATTCCATAGAACATTGATAATATTGTAAAACCTTTGCCCACTGAGCAAAAAGATATTCCCCTGCTCCAGGAACAAAAATGGAACCACTATGCCTCAGAAATGCTAAGTTAACATTTCCATGACAGACATTCTGGTTAGCCTTTCTGAGCAAACTGGACAGGGCTTCTCATATTCTTGCCTCTCACATTCTGTAGCTGCCACCCAAGGACCAAAAGGGAAGGATTTATCTATAAAACATTGTCACAAATAGTTTAGATGCACATTCACTGGTTTAACCATTTTTTCTTGGCACAGACTTAAAATTGAACCAGCACTTTCTGGGGCTCCCTGGCTTCATTTCCCCTTGGCACTATCTCCAGAAATCTTGTTTACACTCCATTTTTCTCTCTGGCCTATTGTCTTAGATTGAGACTGTAAGCTGTTTCCTAGCACAGTGCTGCTCAGACTTTTAGATCCCATGGATCAATAAAAGAGATTAAAAAAA